TTAAGGGTAAGCTCATAATTGCGAAATAATATGTATTTTGTGCTATCGTAGCTACCGTAGCTCACTGGTCTGATATCTTGGTACAACGAGCTTATAATATTTAATAAAAAAAATATTCTTGTTTTCATGTTGCTTAGGTGAAGGCTGCATGCATGCAATCCATATTGAGCTTCATTTTTAATTTAGTTTAGGGTCATTGGGCACCCTAAAATATGGTCGAGTAGAGTGATGGCTGGCTCATCCGTCATACTCGTGAGCGAGTGCTGTTTATGGAGACTGGTCTGCTCTAATCACGACGACTGATTTACTCCTATTTAATTACTCAACCAGTTAGTTGTGTGTTTAATATTTTGAGTCTAATGAATTGCTGCTTGTTGGTGGTTTGTATTCACACGTATCAAGTTAAAAATGTAAAGTTAGAAATAAATTATTTAAAAGACACGCAAGTTTCTTAGTCATTCTTCTTGTGATGGGAAAGCTTTTCGAATGAGCGGTATATAAAATAAAAGTGATGACTATTCAAAACTGCTTCTATGTAAGTATATTTCAATAAATGATTATTATTATTATTATTATTAATTATAATTTAGTCTAGTCTTTAAAATATCACTGTAAGTCGGAGATCATAATTTTTATTGAACGTGTAGCTTTCGTCTTCTGATATACTAGGGATAAATAGGTAGTATCAATTGTATTGCAAATGCCCCATTAAAATTTTTCATCCAAAACAATCCAATCAGAACCGACTGTACAGCACCGGTCGGTTCATTATAATATTAAAATCTAGAGTAGGTGTATTTACTTTAATATTTTACCTTACCAGAGAGAATTCTACGAATCGCGCCCTCCATGTTGAATGCTAACTTTAAATATAGAACTTGTAAAGCATAGAGTTACGTATGCGACACGCCATTAATGTAACTACAGTATAACAATCTTTAATGCGTAACTCATTAAAACCCAGTGTGTGTTACACATAATGGAATCTCCCTCGTTACCACGATACATTTCCACATGAACGGGTATAATAATGCAGCCACAACGATAAACCTTGATATAAAGTTACAAAATAAAGTGTCCGTATATACAATGTAGCAAATGTGTAATGAATGTGATCATTAATAGAATATATGATGATCATACTATGTGAGGCTTAAATAACATTGATTGTATTAAAATAGATGTTCTCTCGTCAAGTGGGATTAGGATTAGGGGTACGACAGCTTAGGCCAACGTTCAAAATATTGGGTTCATCCTATTATCTGTAAACATAAATCGAGTGTCAGTCAAACGTAAGACCATACTTTGCATTGGAATATGTTGGATGGCATGGATATCGATTACACAGACATAAATAGACAAATATAGGTAAAGATAAACGACACAAGTATATAGGTACTTCATTTTATACGAATACTGTGTACGATAAACATTATAATGTATTATAAACTCGTATTTATAAACATTATTTATTGATAGTGAACTCCCTTCTACGAATCCAAGTGTTGTTCTCTTCAAACTATTCCAATGTTGGTCGTAATTACTCTTTCTTTCACTTGAATTTTTTTTTCCGCCATTTACTTTAACAATATCTTGTGAATGCAAAAGGTGCACGATCTATGAAATACATATTAATATTAATGCTATATTTCTGTCGCTGTATATATGTAGGTATATAGAGCATCAGAAATTTTGTATTTTCGACCACAAGATCTTTTAGTATATAAAAACAGTAAATCAATTAAGTTCCTAATAGTCCTTCTATGGATCGATCGCCACTGGGGCATCACTATGTAATTTCTTTATGTTTTAGTATCACTGTTTCGAAAATGCATTTATATCATACATTCGGTGTGTTTTAATATCTGGTCACTGAAGGTTATTGTAGACAGTTCTGAAATATCGACTAATCTGTAATTAATGGTCATTCGAACTCTTTGGTGCTTGCCAAGGGACAACGTTAATTAAAAAGTTAATGGTGTCTGTTAATGGATTCGGGCCACGTTTTTGCCCAATATCCTGTTAATACAACATCGGAAATTTTAACGGTACTCGATTTTGTATCGATATCGCCAATATTCCTTTAGGAAATTGAATTAGCAGAGCTTTGGAACAGGTGATTTTTATTCAGATATTCAATTCAGTTAAATACGATTTGGCCCATTCCATTGCATTAGTTCCTTACCTAAAGACGCTTCTTATTTATATATACAAAAAAATTCTAATAATAATAAAAATGTTTGTACCGTTACAGAGGACTAAACAGTTAATAAGCTAATACTTAATAATAGTGAAATATTGATTACATTATATGTTATATGATGTGTTACTTTTAGGGATTATTGAGGGTTCAAATAAGCAGCCACCTTGAGAACGTCTTCATTTATTAATGACTTAATCTGAGCATAGACTAATACTAATAACATAGACCAATAGTAGTGTATAAATAAATAATTAGAGATATTGAAAACAGTTTGAAATTTTACGGAAAATTGCCATATATTCATCCTGAATATCTACTTGATCCTAACAATATTATTGTAATTAATTCGATGTTATATAATTGCAGTAATAGCGCAACGACGAACGACATTATTCGATTTACAGTTGGTTATGGAAATTATCAGATAATTAACCCACTGTTAATTAAAATGTTTTATGTATACATTACAAATAATTATTAGTTTATTTATCATATTAGATTAACATATATGTGTATATATTTACCAGGGTAGACTTTGTACTTTTTACGTCGAGACGTCTGCAGCAGTTTTCTTGCTAAAAATTTTCACCTGAAGGTATAAGGCAGTTACCTTACATGGTACAGAAGCTGAATGAATAAGTATCTTATTTCTCTTGAATGGCAACGCATGACTGCTATTAAGGCCGTCATATGATAATATGATGGCCGTGGTCTTGCTCTTATATACCGACGATAGTTACCAGTTACAATAAGGTGGGCATTTTTTGACATTCCAGTTGTATAAAAAGAATATTTGATGAAATATTAGTACGAGACTAACCTAGTAGAATTTCAATATAGTAACAATAATAATCTCTGGACAATTCACACCGCGTCATCTAGTTCCAAGTTGAGCAGAGCGTGTGTTATGGGTACTTGACAACTGACATATATATAGTTATTACTTACATAATATAAAACCCCGAAGGGATATAAGCAATCCTACTCGGAAATATAAAACCTTTGTAACGTGCGAGGAATCGAACTCACGACCATTGGAAGTAAGGCGGTGTACTAAACCGATAGAATACCGAGGCCGTCAAATAAATACCCAAATAGTTTGCAAGGAGTTAATACATAATAAACATACGGAATAGAGTGGTTTCGATATTTGGTGTGATTATTCAGAAAAGCTACATTTGAATTTTCGCGTGAATAAGGTAAATTCACCGGCATTTCACACTGCGAGATAAATATCATAGAAATAGTAGGACAGATTGCTAGGTGCCCATGATACTTATCGCTGAAACGGACGGGCATAGGAAATTGATGTTGCTTGTAAAATGAACAACTGTAAACTATACTCTGGAATATATTTTTTCATAAAATATTACACTTTTTTATACAGCAATTTACTTTTGCTTATTACGGAATGTAAATTTCTTACCCTTATCTTTTATAAACTTGCTACCATTAGAATTGGCTCTTTGTAAAAAAACATAAATGAAAATGGTCTAGTACATTTATTGGAATATAAAATAATTAAACAATAAACAGGTGCGTCATTATTATCGGTTTTAAATTGTCTTGTTTAAAATGTTTTTATAAGGGTTCTCTTAAGCCTGCAGTGACAAGGCACCTCCTGACACAACAAGACGTCAATTACTGGCAACTTTGAGAATTTGTTTAGAAGTTTCGGGTAGGCCGCTTTGACAGTGCGTCGGGTGAAACTGTGAAAGAATTAGACGCTACTCACAAATGGTGTACTAATTTTGAAAATTACTTGATCTTGATCTTCATGAAACAAATTCTTTGTTGATAGTGCAAGAAGTGATTAGACTAATGTGAGGAAATTTTTAAATAAAAGCTTATACCAATTTAGTCAAAGTAGTGTTAATTAAAATCCTACTCAGTTTAAGTCATTCCAGTTATGATTAGTGTCAGACGGTGTTGTGAAAAAAATGATAGAAATGATATTTAAGATCCTATCTTCAATACAGTCAGTTAAAAATAATACAAAGTTACTAGTTTTATATCTACCAATAAAGTTCTAAATATTTAATTTTAATTTAGGGAGCAGGGTTACATTTTACGTTTTAAGGATTTTTTGTAACACATTCTCGTATCACATATGTGTAATCTTTATAAGAACTAAATAAAAAATGACTAAAAAGTATATACCATAACTCGAAGTGCCTATGTGTTATACATAAATGGAATCCTAAACCCATCATTCTTACAGAACTTCAAACATGAGAAATGTGTAAGAGATAAAGGATAAATGAATATTATTAAAGCTTATATACGAATTAAATTACAGATTGTACAGTTCAAACGTGAAATTTTCCGGAGGGAAAATCTTGTATATATGCACTTCAAAATGACATTACAATAATCCAGTGGCTTTGAAGATAAAAGCTTTGAAGCCAAATCAACTGAGGATTGGTTTTGTTAAGCGATTCTAAGGAAAGATTAAATTAATATAATATAATAATACACGAGCGTATAATACAATACTAATTTAAACGGTAAGTATGTCTTATATTGGCGAAATAAGAAATAAGTTTTCCATTATATTTATTTCATTTCCATTATATATATATATATATTGAAGTTGTAGTAGAAAATTGTATATTTTTTATTTCATGTAATTGCAGTCAAACAAGCTGTCGCTCCACCTGATGATGAGTTTTAATCGTCGCCTATATACATGTGACGTCACATGTTACCATTAAAAAAGATTAAGTGCTGCCTTTTATCCTGTAAACCTTCCCTGTTCTACTAAATAAAGTGTTAATGTGATAGATAATAGACTTACCATCATTGATAAAGGGATAGACGGCACGAAGCTCAGTTTCATATGCTTCCAGTGAGATTGGTGGAATTATAGGCGGTACGTAGTCATCTTCAGGCGATCGTTCAGAACCGTAACCTTGATCGAAACCAGGATCTTGGAGTTTCCACACAGGCTCTGCATCTGAACCTGTTAAAAAAAAGGTTTAATTAATCATTATACCAGAAAATAAAAATACTGGGAAATAACAAAAGGTAAAAAGTCCAGGATTGTAAGTTTACTTTATTACAATTTTATTTAACAACAATTTATTTGTTTTATTACAAACGAAACTACCACGGTCAAAACATTTAATGTTTCACAAAAATAAAATTTAAACAAAGTCTTGCTTTATAGGTTAAATGAAGAATCGAGGTACTCTTTGTAAAAAGTTCTCTGCATGGGCCTGTCTCCTGGCTTTTTTATTTCAGTCGCCAAGCAGCTTGTTCTGTAATCTGTGTTTTACTGTTGTATAAGAAAAGGTAGTGAAATTACACGATAAAACACCTTAGCCCTTCGGAATCGCAACGCGTGAGCGATACAACGGATGTCACATGTCAACGTGATGTTCAGGTATATAGGCAATGGTCATAACTTACCCTCCATTGGTAAACCTATGGAGTCAGTTTACTATTCCAATTACATAAAAAATATTAAATGTGGCAATCTAGGCATGGCGACGCTTTCGAAAAAAAAAATTAGTTGAAAGCTCAACCATGATAGATGGCGATTGTACAATTTGTACATGTACAGTGCAGTACGCTCACGTATAGTATGATTTCAGGGGATGTTCGTCTTGCGGACGCTCAGATTGTAGATTAGATTCCGTTGAGGTTTTCCCTAGAGCGCTTACGTTACTTTAGGGTTATAATATGGTTTCTTATATGTTCGCAAAACGCACGACATTCTAGGTTTTGATGGTATCCATACCAAGTATCTACATTGTATTATGCTTATTTGCTAGCAACATTGTCTAATATTCCGTACATATATAAAGACTGTTTTTATTTTTCTTCTTATTAAAATTTGTAAAATGTTATAAAAATATTGGATTATAGATGTTATAAGAATATGGGATTTAGATTTCTGCATCTTCAATTACATTTTATACTATATCAGTGGGTATTTGCAGAATTTGTGCTGAAATACAGCGCTGCAGTTGCTACAAATGCTGCAGCAAAGAAAACATAATGAAGGCTATTTACAAATTATTACATAAAAATATTTTTTGATATTTTACACACCTAGTATCTATGTGAAACTATCCTATCTTTAGTATATTATGAATAACCACCTTCTGCTATAAAGTTGGAGAGCACTGTTTACCACCTTAACAGAAGCAGGTGCTTTAGCAAACTTCTTGTCCTAAGTAAATACATTAAAACTCTTTAACAGAACTTTTAGATTGCAGAAGACTTGGAAGATGATAAACGTGTAAATAAACAAATCCACGAACTTAAATTTATGTAAACAGTTACTCCAAACATTGACTTAGGCGTGCCACAGGGCACGGCTTGCAACAATTTGTTTTAATGTAAGTGATCCTGCTGAAAATGTAGACTGTGTGACGTGGACCTCATTTTTATAAGAAAGTTCCTGATATTATCATATAAAGGTGACTTTATATTAAAACAGTAAAGAGAAAGTATGAATAATGTAAGAAAAGACGGATCACTGAAGAATGTCAACTATACCGATGAATTTGTTACAGTATTAAATTAAACGAACAGTATATATTTATATACATAAACCATTTTATTTGTAGACAGAGACTGAATAAATTTGTTTTGGTAGTATCAGTAATTAATCATTGGTGCGTGGGCGTTTTATTTTTCCTATAAAATCTTGTATTACATTATTCAGGGAAAACATTTCGTTCTCATATTAAACGGGAAAAATATGAAAAATTAAATAAAAAGAAAATGCTATTAAAGTATAATAATCAGACAAATCAGTTTCGATGCAAATAATTTGATAGTGTTTTCTTAGAGCAGTCATTGTTTATGTGTTTCACATAAAATTCATATCATAAATAATTTTCTTATTGCTGCTATCACTCTTATATAATATTTTTATGACGCTTTTATAGATGTTCTGTCGCTACACACGTCCCTATCAGACTTTCCAAGGTTAACTGTAGGAAATCCTTTTCAGGGATAAGTCGGACGTCGTGTTTAATCAACGTCAATATAACCGATATACGTATGTACTTAACTCTTTAGAAGAATGTAAAAAAACTATAGCATGGTACTGTTTCACAAGATAAATTTAGTAACTATAGATGCTCATTGAAACAAAATATAACGGAAAATTATTAGAGTGGACCAAATGCGGAAAAGCAATGGCCAATGCCTACCCACCTATGCGAATACGGAGGCGATTTTCGTCCAAAATGTGAAATTGGCGGTTCTCTAAAATACGGTAATGGCCGTGTGTGGTTTCAAGAATACCTAAATTATACCTACCGTAACGTAATGTATAGAGGAAGGTTGGTAAAATATCGGTTTGCGTGCATCGGATTAGTAAAGCGTTTCCCTAGAATACGCCATTACTAACTTTGATTTACGCCATTTGCCCCATGCTATGGTACGGGCGCCAACACAAGTATCGAACAAGTAATTTTCCTATGGCATTTGTAGCAGAAATGGACTTTGTTTACCTATATGCATTGCATGGAGAAATTTATGGAAATGTATATGCGAATAAGAAATTACATTTCTCAAGTAGTTTTTAATATTCTTTGAAATATCGCTCGTGCGGATTATTATAGTTATAATAGTACAGTATATGTTCCAAAATGAGCTATAACACCATAGTTTATAATAATGGCCGGAATGAATGTACTATCACATGTATATAGATTGAGGTGTTTTATGGCGTCTGAGGTAATAAATATATAAATACTCAATTTCACATTTATTAGATAACAAGCGAAGATCTCATTAATGACAGTATGAAAAAGTGCTAAGACAGTATTGTGACATATTGTCTCCTATGCTGTTTAATTAATTCTTAAATCCTTACAGTTTTAGAATTAATATATTACTAACAATCACTAATTATTTGGAGTATGTAAAACATAAATATGTAAATATGCACTGTGTAAATAATTATAAAACACCAAATTGTAAATTAAATCGTAATTATATATATTTATTAAAATGTCGATCTAATTAGCGGTGTAACAAAAATATTGAAGAATATAAAACAAATGACAATCGTAACCATTAGAACACAGCGTTCTATATTTAAATATTACGAAGTAAATAATTGAGTAGGTTTTAATACCTATTTTTGTTGGAGTTTCCAACATGCACTATATACATATGCGTAGATACGTATACTACGTTTATCGAATAGGTAATGTGTTGATAAAAACCATCTGCCTTTCGTTAGCATCCTCTCTGACCTCCGTTACTCTAACAAAATGGCTTCCATTTTATTAGAAAGGTCTTATTTGTTTGTCCCACAATGATTAAAAAGAATAATGTATTTGAGAGACGATAACAATATTATTGTGCTATAAGTACAAATAACTAGAGTATTAAAAGTTAGAAATAATTAAATAAATAAAAGAATACTAATATTTTTTGGATACGAATTCAAATAATGTATGAAATTTTCATCGTTTAATGAAGTTTAATACATTAAAAGTCATCATAACTGGCGAACTTGTGTGAATAGATCGACGAATATATAAAACGAAAAAGCTGTATTTGAATCAGAGCTTTGACGTTCTATTGTTTTTGCATACTTCAATCGTGATATCGGCTTCAATCTAAATACCTATACGCTGTATGTAGGTACATTACATTGTTGAATATGCACGTGTAATTAACAGACATATTTCAGATCCCACATTACGAATAAGGTAACAATGGCTTTGCTTATTACCTACTATACCTTCAGGTTGCGTATATGTCGATTAAACACAATATTACGAACAGGTATTGCTTCTCCCCTCTGTCTATTCATGTTCATTTTATGTAGAATCGTTTCCTTTATTCTCGTTATTAAATCCTACAGGTGCTTGAAAGCAGCGAGTATATTTGTTACGTAATAATAATAGTACAACATTCGAGGTGGAGGCTAGGGAAATATTACTCTATGTAGACTGTTATAATTTGGGTAATAAAGATTTTATTCTAATTACTAAATACTTTAAATAAGTGTATCAATATATAAAAAAGTATACCTAGAAGTCAATACTTCTTTAGTACTTGAGTAAAAAAAATATATAAATACAACGCGAAATTAATATATGTCACTTGAGAATAGATTATCTGTAAAGTGAACTATTTTTCACATAGTTATAAAATCATAAAGCTGTTCCTATTACCTAATTGGTTTAATTATAGTTTCATCATATAGTCCAAAATAATATGTATGGTAAATATTAAGATTTTGATTATAATGGTTTCATACTAAAGTTCTTTGCGAATAATTCTTTAAAGCGAAAAATCTTTGAAACCGGAAAAGCTCCCGTTCAAAGCATAAACAGAAAAATGTCGTTAAAAAATGCCACGTATCACGGCTGCGACGGGCTGAAAGCAGAATAATTCAGAAATGTGGCATATTTTACTTCGAATTTTTCTGTAAGAACATTTCGTTTATCCAGCCGTAACGGTACTATGTTATGCTACTAATCTAGCAACATTGGCAACGTAACATACATAAACCACAAATATAGGCTTATTTGTCTTATAGTACGTGTGTACCAGGTCTTTTGTTTGATTTACACCTGCGAAAGGTGAATAATGGCGCGCCATTATACGATTCCTCTCTTTGGATCCAATATCCGATGTGTTATGAATAAGCTTTAGCTTTGTGCGTTATATGCTTTCATTTATTTTTCTTTCCTTTTTATCAAAGTGCTCGGGGTATTATTTTAAATTGTCAGCGTGTGTATGTAATTTTGAGATAGTATAGACTATAATACTATAAAATTAATAACTCGTTCTTTTTATTTTTTATGCACTTACAGGAGTGATGGTGGTAATGTGATGCGAATATATTGTACATTCCCATACATTGGATTTCTTTGGACTGATTGATCATGAACAACACTTATTTGGATTTTCTATCTCAAATTTCTTTCAAGCAAAGCGATTTGCTTTTCTATGAGGCCGACATTACATGTATATATACGT